GCTGTTGCTCTGACATAAGTCTGGGGGTCAGTGATGATATCCTCGGAGACCCTCACACTCTCAGAGTCAGACCGGACCCACTTCAGTGATACTCCAGTTCTTACACAGAGATCGATCAGGTCCGGCCAGTCTGACCAGACACCAAAACCAGCAGAGTGAGTGTCCAGTTTCCCGCTGGATTTTCTTTTGAAGCCAAGGAAGTGGGGCTCTGACTCCCTGGTTATCGGCACCTTGCGTCTCCTGAGGTCCAGGAACAGGGAGGATCGAGCCATCTCCCTAACATCTTTGTCATCATTATTCAGCATGTTCAGAAGGTGGGAAATCCGCATGCTGGTATAAACCCATATCATGTTTGGTACCCCCAGTCCTCCTTCCCATTGGGGATGAAAAATAATGTCACGAGTGCTATGTGTATTTAGTTCAAACCACTTTCACACTAAGCTCACTGTTTTGTTATTTATTTCGCTCAGCACTTTCTGCTGGATATGAATGTTGGAGAACAGATCTTGTACTTTAGACAGTGCCACCAGTCTAATAGCCTCCAGCTTCAAAGTCAGTGGACATTTATCAATCAGGTCCAGCCTGCATGTGTACTCTGACAGGATGATGTCTACTTGCTCTTTCCATTCTCCTGCAATATCAATTTTATGTCCAAGATAAGTGTATGTCTCGTGAAGAGGTTTTGTTGCTACTGTAAACACTGGACATTCTCTCTCACTCTCTCTCACACACACACACACACACTCTCTAAAACACACACTCACACACACACACACTCAAATACCAAATAAGGACATAAACATAACACGGAGCACATGGGATGGAGGAAAACAAACACAGACATGGAACAGAATCTGACAAGGAGAGGTCGAGCAGATGAACACAGATCTACTGACTCACAGCTTCTGCATTTCCACACACGGTGCTTTATACAGAGAGCTCCAGACTCAACATCTTCAGCTCCACCAACAGTTACAGTAAATCACTACTGTGGCTAAAAACATCCACATTATCAGCAACTACTTCTTGTTCTAACAGCCACACGCATCTTAAAAAGACATTTTAACTAAGACCATGTCATTATTGTATGAATATATGTGTAACGGAGGCCAGCGAGTAAGTGCTGTGCAGGTAAAACCTCACTCCCCTGATCTCAAGAGACGCACTAGCGACTGACGCTAGAGGCTGCAGTCTTTAGCCTCCTTGCTAGTGCGTCTGCCTCCCATGCTGGAGACCCACTCGGAGCGAGAACGAGGTATGGCGGAGAGGACCCGGGGGAGAGGGGTTACATTGGTGCCGTGACCCGGATGGGAGTGAGGCTTAGGGGGGTGAGTGTAACGGAGGCCAGCGAGTAAGTGCTGTGCAGGTAAAACCTCACTCCCCTGATCTCAAGAGACGCACTAGCGACTGACGCTAGAGGCTGCAGTCTTTAGCCTCCTTGCTAGTGCGTCCGCATCCCATGCCGGAGACCCACTCGGAGCGAGAACGAGGTGTGGTGGAGAGGACCCGGGGGAGAGGGGTTACATATCTCAACAATAATTATAATACTTCATATGTCTCTTGTAGAAATATTCTATAAAGAAGCAACTGGTGTATTATAGTGTGTTCAATTCTAAACTGCGTTTATCCAGGAATGAAAAACAAACATGAACTATGTTAAATATAGAAGGACTGTTTGAACATTAAAATCTAGAAGCTCAAAGAACTGATTGTGTCTAAATAAGATTTTATTTTTAAGAGTTATTTTTGTTAACTGCTGAAATGAAACAAAATATAATTATTAAATGGACAAAACAAATGAATAATAAACGAAAAATAGAAATAACTTAAGTAAATTTATGTTGAAGCACTAAAATTACAAATTGGAAATAAAAAAAATGAACTAAAATTAAAACTGAAATAAAAAATATATTTAACCTAAATAGGAATATCAAAAAAATAACAAATACCAGCAAAAATGATGAAAGCACATACATTTTTTTTTAAGTAAAATTAAAACTGAAAATATAAAAAAATGAAAGTTTGGAATGAAAATAAATGTATCATATTATATATAACATGAATAATATGTGGATCAAAATTCATATAAAACCCATCATTGTGTACTCAAGTCATATATTCTATTCTATTCTATTCTAGATTATAAAATAATTAAAATATAAAAAATGTAAATATATTTAATTTCAATAAATATTGGAATATACATTTTATAATCAAATATAAATTCTAAAAATATTTAAATATAATGTAATAATATAAATAAATATATGAAATATTAATTATTATAAGCAGCGGAGGAGACACTGGCATCCACATGTGCTGACTTTCAGAAAGTTCCCGTGGAAAAGCTTGAACAGATGCATTTTCCATTATATTACAGCATGTTCTGGAGGTCCGGATGTGTGTGATTTATGATCCGGTTCTCATTGAGACACTACAGAAAACACATGTGCTGCCAAACAGACACTTAGATCAGCCTTCAGAAATAACCACACATGAGAACAACAGCTTCAGGACTTCAGCTTCAGGGCCGTTTCTAGGGCGCCACCAGCTGAAGGGGCGCCAGTGAATGCACGTACTGGCACTTTTAGCAGGGTTGTGATATAGAGTGGCAGGGTCACCCTGAAATATGACTTTTATGCCACTGATAAAGCTTTTATATGTAGTTTGGGGTAACAAAGGGGTTTTATAGGTTTGAAAGAAATAATAATGCAATAACTGACACTTTAAATCAAGAAACTACAAAAAAAGTTTCAAGAAACAACAAAAAAATTGAACAAAAAACAGATAAAGACAAAAAAATAGCCATTGATAATATCTAAACAATATGTAGTAGTATAGTATATAGTATCCAAATCAAAATGTAATAAAATTAATTTATGTGTGATTTTTTGTGTAAATGATGTGCAATGTCTTAGCCACTAGGGATAGTTACATAGGGCTATACAGGCCTTTAGTGGCAACACAATGATATTACAGATACTAATTATTTCGCCTAGGGCGTCAAATTGGCTAGAAACGGCCCTGTTCAGCTTCATGCTCTATTGTCCAGATGCAAGGTCATCCTGTACAAAGGTTTTTATGAAATTCAGTTGGATCGACATGAGCTCTTTCACAAATCAGAGTTAGCACAAGAACTAATGCTGCCACAGCACTGCTATGATTGACTAATATTGTTGCATTATTGCATTAATCTGAATTGCTCACTGATTGCATTGCTGATCGAGTTGTCTGATAACCTGACACTGTACGTTACAGATCTTGTTGACTGTACCTGCAGAGGTCAGGGGTGAAGACGTTGAGCCGCTCTTCTTTGCTCAGGAACGGGTGGAAGCCGCTGCCGTCGCTGCCGTTGATCATGTTACTCTGGTTGGTTTTCCAGATGGACAGCATCCTGAGACACAAAGCACAGCAACCATCAATCATCTCTAGCTCTGCCTCGTGAAAATATGATATTCAGGAGAATCGGAGTCTTTACTTCTCTCCCTTCCAGGTGTAAATGCGTCCGAAGTCCAGGTAGTTCTGCTTTCCGGTGTGATACACGAACTCACCGTCATCACTGCCGTTTTTCTGACAACACAAGAACAGCCCAGATATGAGACAGACATGACAATAAAAATTATACATATATTTTAATTAGATTATATTGTGAAATAATTAGAATTGTTTTTATAAAACAAATAAAAAAAAGTTGAATCCATTTTTATAAAATATAAAACATAACAATATTTAAATATAATTTACTGTAATAATATTAAATATTATTAAACATATTTATAACAATATATTAATTCATAATAATATACTAATAATTATAATATCATTCATAATAAAATCAATAATAGATTAGATAAATTATTAATAGAATACCGTAACAAAACAGATGCATTAACAGATCTTAGTATTGTATTACATTTGACTTCATTTGACATTATTCTTCCAAAAATTATTAAAGTTGTTTTAAATAATTAACACTAAAGACAGTGGTACACAATTACTATAATGACCACAGTGACACACACACACACACACATATATATATATATTACATTTAAAAAAAATTATAATTTTTTTTTTAGAAAATCAATATACATTTTATAATTTTTTTAAATAATATAACTAAAAATGCTTATGATAACAAAAATATGATTTAATTAATTATATTATATTTTAATTAGTATACATTTGATTATTTATTAATTTAACATGAATATTAAAAACATTATTAAAATAATATATAAATGTAACAACAAAAAGGTGAAATATATGTTAATATAATAAATATAAATATGTAGTCCTTCCTCTGGGTCAGATCATCAAACGCCATGGTCTAAATTTCCACAGTTACGGCTGACGATTTTGACGATCTGACGCAAATTAAATTTTTTTTCCTGCACAGCTCAACTCTGTTTTTCCTCCTACTTCTTTAACATCTTGCCTGCATGGACAAAATCCTTTGTCTCCTCTGATTCTTATCGATGGAGTTAGAGTACATCCTTCCCCTACTGTACGTAATCTTGGTGTACTATTTGATTCTGCACTATGCTTTGAACCCCATATCAACCAGCTTGTCAAGTCCTGTTTTTACCAACTTTGCAATATTGTCAGTTTACGATAATCACTCAATTTCAAAGATGCTGAAACTGTTATTCATGCTTTTATAACTTTGTGCCTGGACTACTGTAACTCATTGTTATATGGCCTACCTAACAA